ATCCCAGGGCCGGCCACAGAGCCACCTCATTCCAAAGGTTTTGAGGGAAGAGAGAGGATCGCTGAAGGGAAGATGGGCCTCCTCACTGGGCTGGGGCCAGGTGGAGGGGACACAGAGGCCTGGAATGTCAGGCCTCGGCAGTGGCACCCTCGTAAAGCCACACTTAGCAACCTCCTCATTTCAGCCCGCTGTCCAGGCTGACACCAGCGGGCAGACGGACTTTTCGGACCCGAACAGCATTTTCCTAAGTGAATTGTCCAAAATGACATATCACTTCGCTTAGGAAGGCTGACATGAAACATAAAAATAAAAGGGGCACGCCCGGCGACGGTGAGGATGGAAGAAATGGGCACACTCGTACTCGCTGGTGCGGATATAGGATGGCGCCCAGTGTTGAAATGGTCTGGCAGGTCCTCAAAAAGTTAAACACAGACTCACCCTATGACCCAGCAATTCCACTCCTAGGTATGTGCCCCCCAAACTGAACACAAGTGTGTGAACAAAAACTGGTACACAAAAGTTCATAGCAGCCAAGAGGTGGACACAACCCAAGTGTCCATCAACAGGTAACTGGATGAACAATGAGTAGCACATCCAAACAGCGGATTATTACTCCGCCACAAAAAGGAAGGAAGACGGATACAAACTACCACATGGATACATCTGAAAAGCATCAGGTTACTGAAAGAAGCTAGGCAGTAAAGAATCATAGTCTATGATTCCATTTGTAAGAAATGTCCAGAATGGGCAAATCTACGGCGACAGAAAACAGATCAGCAGTCGCTGATAGAAGGGATTGCTACCTAAAGAGCACAGGATCTATTTTTGAGGTCATGAAAACATCCCAAGTTGACTAGGGTGATGGCGAATATGCTAAAAGCCAACGAACTGTACATTTTAAATAGGTGAATTATGATATATACATTATATCTCAATAAAGCTGTTGTCAAAAGATGAGTTGCTTTTTTTTTTTTTAATCTGATGATTTTGTATGAAAATCCAACTTTCCAACTTCTCTTTTCAAAACTCAGATGTGGCCCTGGACGGTTTGGCTCAGTGGTTAGAGCGTCGGCCTGCGGTCCTGAGAGACCCAGGTTCGGTTCCCGCTAAGGGCGCGTACCTCGGTTGCAGTTTGTCCCCGGCCCTGGTTGGTCGTGCGGGTGGCAGCCACTCGATGTGTCCCTTTCACGTCGATGTTTCTCTCTCTCTCTCTGTTCCTCTCTCTCCCTCCCACTCTACCTGAACAAAAAATGGAAAAATGTCCTCGGGTGAGGATAAAAAATAAAAATCAAAACTCAGATGTGGCAATTCTGGGCCCAGGTGCCCTGGCACAGTTGACTGGCACTGAGGGACACGTGCCCCTGTGACAGCCCAGCCCAGCCTACCCACTCACTTGTGTCCCTGACTCACCTCGGGTGAGCCTTTGACTTTGGGACCCCTGTGAGACCTTCGAAACAACTTTCACAATTGCTATTATCAAGTATTGTCCCTCATCCCTCACTGTATGGATACGCAACAGCAGAGCCCACTGGGGAGTGGTTTCAAACCCCACACCTCTGCGGCACCCCCACCCAGGCCCTGAATGAAATGTTCCTTCCCGGCTCTGCCCAGTCACTCCAGACTGGCCAGCTGGGAGGCACAGATGGGCCAGGCTCCCTCCTTGCTCAACCCCTGGCCCGGCTGGAGAGCGATCCTGTGAGCATCGTTCTGCCCCCCTCCCTGCCAGGCCAGGCCCTCCATCACTGTCAGGGCCTTGACCCGAGGGCAGAGTCCTCGCGGGCTGGAAACACGGGGGTGAGCACAGAGCATGTGTGCCCTGTGTCTTCACTGGGGATTTCCATCATGCCCCAGAGCCGAGGCAGAGCGGGCGGGGCAGGCGCGGGAAGCCTGCACCCCGGGCTGGCTGGGCCCCACAGAGTAGCTGTCCATGCCTCCGGCTCTGTGGTGCTCATGCTAAAATGCTCTCAGTCCGCGCTGCTCAGAGCCAAAGGCCGTCCACGGCCACCTTGGGTCCTGTGCCGCCAGGGAGCTTCCCACAGCCCCCACGATGCTCCGGCTTCAGGTCTCTGCTCAGCTGTCTACCCCCCTGCTGGGCACTGCAGACATTTGCAGGGAGCTGGCTACATGTCTGACAGAGTCCACGGAGCCTGGGGGTCTTGAGTCCGAGACTCGACCTCCCCCACAGTCTCAAGGACTCAGGCTTGCACTGTGTTTGTGCAGCTCGGGGCTAAGTGTGACCCAATGTACCTTGAAATACCTGAGATAACAGACTGGGTGCTCCTGTTATCTGTAAGGCAAACGAATTCTGTACACCATTGTTGTAGCCCTGGGCACTATATCAAGAAGATCCTATTTTCTTATATCACTAAACTTTGGCTACAAGGTACAAAAGGCAGTAATAAAGCGTATCGAGGCTGATCCCGCTGAGGAGAGTCCTCCTAATCCCATATCCGTGTCTTCGTCTTCGTTCCCCGGACCCCGAACCCCGGGACTCCTGGCAGAAGTCAAGCCCCGGGCTCTGGCTGCAGGAGGACTTGGGTTCAAGTCCCTCATCCACAGCTTGCTGGCTGGGACCCCTCCCTCTCCCGCCAAATAAGGCTGGCAGCCCTCAGTGGCACCAAGGGTGGCCAGGTGAGGCTCTGCTCCCCCGAACCTTCCTTGGCACCTGCCCCCTTTCTCTGACGCAGCCAAGTGACATTTTCTCAGCTTAATGAAGAGCGTCGCACGAAAGCAGCTGCAGCCAGGCCTTGGTCTGTCCTCCACCAGATGCTGCCCCGGAACCAGCCCGGGGAGACGCTGGAGGCGTCGCTCAAAGCAGCACCCACTCCGCAGGGCTGTCGGGCTGGCCCAGTGAGAGGCCCTGCCCTGTGCCCGGCATATACTAAGAAAGGGCTCGACACATGTGACATCCCCCACGTCCAAGGCTGCCTCCCAAACTGACTGCGCCCCGCCACCCAGGACTCAAGCCATCGCACAAGCTCCGTGCTCGGGGACACAGCGGACTTTACCAGCCCAGCCCAGCAGTACTGGGAAGGCCAGTCATCACATCGCGAACTGCGGAAGCCGTCAGAATGGCCAAGGGAGACAAAGCCCACTGCAGCTGTGGAGGAGCCAGAGCCCATGGCTTGCCCTCCCATGCCCCTCTCCCCACAGCAAACCCAAAGCAGACTGGCACCGCGGAGCCCCCGAGGGCCAGAGGGGCGCACAGGAGCCGAGCGCCCCTCCCGCACACACGCACGGGGCGTGCTCAGACTGGCTGGAAACAGGCACCCCACGAGCTCTGCCTCTCCGAGCACCCAGAAAGGCCCGAAGGCTGCCGTTCCACCAGGGACTCAGGGCCCCCACAGTCCCCGGGCATCACCCTGCTTTCTGCAGACCAGAGGCCCCTCCCTGCCTTCGGGATACAGCCTGGCCACACGGACGCACCCTGCAGAGAGCTCTCCATCCCACACCCTGCCCAGGCCCTCCTCCACCCCACTGCTGTGCCCTCCGTCCTCACCGCCTCCGGCACCGACGGGAAAGCAGCGAGGAGGGAGGGCCCTGCATGAACACCAGCAGCTGCGCGTTCCTGGTTCGGGGCACAGTGGGGCTCCTTCTCCGAGCTGGCGGCAAGCCGGAGCACGTGCGTCCACACGGTCAGGACGTGCAGATGACACGCAGCCTCCTTCCGACCGCAGAGAGCACATCCCCCCCACACAGAGGGGGACGACAGGGGCTGCACAGCCATTCCCCCTCTTTCCCAGTGCGGACCCCAAGGTGTATCTAACGCCAAACTCTCCTGAGAATTTGAGACCCCCCCTTCTGGCTCCTGTGGAGGGAGCCCCCGTCACCAAGGGCCAGGCCCCTGCAGACACAACAGTGCTCAAACCGGGGTGAGCCAGTGCCCAGCCAGGACCCCAGGCTCTCCCAGCAGCGTCTAGATCCTGTGGGAAAGAGCACTGGCCCGGGGCCCAAGGACCTGGATTCAGGTGCCGCTCTCTGCTCCCCGTATGGCCAATGCATACCGGCATTTCCAAATGCCAGCCATCTGTAACCACCCTCATGATTTCGGTGGAATCCAAGCATTATGTGCTATTACTTAAAACTCTGTCCACTTAGTTTTCTCACTTGAATGACCTGGGCATCATCTTAGGTCACAAATGGCCGTAAAACCATAACTGCAACGTGTAACCATGCAAGAGGTCAACGTCCTGATGCCGAACACCACGTTTGTGGAACACTGAGCAAACCCCTCTCCTGTCTCAGTTCCTCATCTGAAAGGAGACTGGACTAAGTGGCTCCTCAGGCCCAAGACCCACAGACTGAACCAGTCACAACTCCCCACTGGGCCGGGCCGGCCAGCAAGCCCGGGCCCCCTGCCCAGGAGTCATGCTGGCGGATGCTGAGCAAACGGGAGAGCCGCCTCTCAGAAGCTTCCAGAACCCCACACCAGACCAAACTTCAGAACTGCACAGTTAGAACAACCTCCTCACCCACCTCTTTTACAGCTGGGTGAACTGAAGTCTGGAGGAGGAGCTGAGGCGAGGGCAGACTGAGCTGAAAACCCAAGTTCCCTGGCTCCTAAGTCACCCCGTCACCCACTATGGCCACGCACCCCGCAGTCTGAGCTTTCCCCATGTCCTGCCCTGGGCGTGGGCTCGGGTCTCCTGGGCCGGGTGCAATGCCGCCCCTTGCGGGGAGGGGAATCATGGCATCTGGTCTCAGTGGAGCCCAAACGTTGTAGAGTGGATGAGCAAGCGTGGCAGAGCGCAAAGCCCCTGCAGTGGGGGCACCGTGGCCCATTTAACGTGCCCACGAGAAGAAAACGTGGCCCCTGGAGAATCAGAACGTCTCAGTCTCCGTATGTAATACGGACTTTATGGACCATATGGAACTGATCTGAGAACCGTGTTGCACAAGGTGGTCTGGGCTGCAGACAAGAATAGGACATAAAGAAGAGGTTTCCATTACCAGACGGGGGGCTCCCCGCAAGCCCCGCCCCCCGGTCCCAGGGCTCTTACCTGACGCTGCCACGGAGGAATCCCAGGCCAGCGAGAAGTCCGAGGCCTCCCCCTCTTCGACTGCAAGAGAACAAGAGATGGGCCTGTGAGCTCTGAGGCGGCACAAGGTCATCGGCTGGGGTGCAGGCAGGAAGAAAGTCACTTGTGGGGGTCCCTAAAACACCCGCGATGGGAGGGAGGGGCAAAGCCTACAGAGAGGTCTGTATTGGTTTAAGGGTGTAACATCATCAGGACACAACAGGAATAGCAAGTAAGGGCTGCATCCATCTGCTCTCCCCACCCGTGTCCCTGGCAGACATCACGAGTCAATCCCAGCACCGTCGCAAACTGGATGCAGCAGCAGCAGCTTCCTCCACTCTCGAGAGCCAGGTTTCCGCTCGAGACGGAGCCCTTTGCCGCTGGCAGGGCAGAGCGGAGATCCAGATGCCCCCGGCCCTGCACATTGTCCTCGCACTCGGACGGCCGCTCGGACTTGGCGGCTTTCTCAGTTATCCAAGAAACAAGCGCGATCCCTCTCACAGGCTGGCGAAGTGTGGGGTGCTAGTCTCCACATGGAGACTGGAACCCCAGACAGACCTCAGGACAGGCCGAGGTCCACTCTCCAGAGGACCGCGGTCATGAGCCGGTGACATCAGGAAGCAAGCCACCTCTCCGCTCCACCCCAGAGCCCACAGAACAGGCTCAACAGGGACGGGGTGTCTCCCCCACCCCCCACCCCAGCATGGGAGGCCAAGCAGGTCCGGGGGTGGAGGCCACGCACCAGGAGAACACGGGAGAAACTCTGTACAGCACAATAAGGCTCTTGTCCTGGAAGTAATCCCAGTTGGGGCAGGTAATAACATTAAAGCTGGGTTGTGGACTTTGTAAAATGGAACTTTGTTTAAGTCAAAAACTGTGCACGCACAGTACTTTCCAGATCGGGACGCCCGCTCTGAAGCGACCACGCCCGGCTGGGGCCACCGGTAACGTGGGCACAGCTGTGAGCCAGGCGCTGAGCGGAGGGCTTTGCGGGCCTTGCTGCACCTCACTCTCGTCACCAGGTTCTCGGGCAGGCGAGAGGACACACCTGAGGTCCGACAGCTAGTCCACCCAGCCTCTGGGCTGAGACCCAGATCGCCTGGCTCGAAGGCTGCTCCTGAAACCCCTGGACAGCAGGTCCTCGAGCAACGCACTGCGTTCAACGTCACTTCTTGTAACGCTGATGAGATGCTGTAGGAACTTAACTCCTGCTCCGCTCAGGCAGCTACGGTGCAGCTGCTGTCATGACACGTTGCTTCACTTGCAATGAGGCACCGAGGACGCTGTCCCGAATCCTGGCCACTCGGGACGGGAAAGCAGCCACTGCAGCGGGCCCCAGGGAAGGCAGGTGGGCAGCCGAGCCGGAGGAGCAAGCCACTGGCTGCGGCAGATACTGGGTTCCCGTCCCGAGTCCGCCTCTCACTAGCTGCATGACCTCGAGCTAATAATTTAACCTCTAGGCTTCAGTTTTCCCATCTCAAAAATGGAGGTGATGGTACCTGTGCCACAGGACTGTTGGGAGGATACAACGGGATAGTGGCTGTCACCTGCAGGAGCGGGGGGGGGGGGGCCGCAGGGCTGGAGCAGCTCCCGGACTTAGCGGGTCTGCTCTGCCTGCTCCTGCACCTCCCTCCCCACCAGCGCCTCGGAACGTGCTTCTAACCCTCAGAAGCGGCAACGGTTCATCCAGGTCCATGAGCACCAGGACAAGCAATGCTCAGTGAGGCCTCTCTCTTCCGAGTGTGCGTCCCGGGAACAGAAACTCGGAATCAAGACAAGGAAACGCAGAGAGAGGACCTGGGCGGGAAGGGACGCTGCTGACAAAACTGCCACCAAGCCCAGCGGATTCCAACCGCACAGCCTCCGACACACACGTGGATGGTGCCTGCAGCGATCAGAAGCTCCCGTGGCCAGGCCAGCGAGTCCCTTCCCTCTGCGGCCCACCCTTCCCTTCCAGAGCAGCCTGCGCTTCTATTAAGAGTGGCCGGCAATGCGTCAGGTGGCCCTGCTGCATTCTGTCGGACACTTACAAGGTCTGTGTGTCTCTGCACCGCGTCAGCCACGGGTTCCAGGTCACAAATGCATGACCCTAGATCTCCCTGTGCCCGTAGTGCCCCCAGGAGCCAGCATAAATAGCCCCCAGACTTGGGCCCACTCTATGCTCTTTGCTTGGGAAGTGTGACCTCCCATGTCACTGAGCTGGAGGATGTCCCAAGGTGCCCAGTCTTTCCCTCCGTAAGATCTGGCTTCGACCACGACGGAAAGATGTGAAAATGCCGGCCACCTAGGAGCTCCTGGGAGGACCCGAGTCCCTGGCCCCAGGTATGACAGGCTTGCAGAGGTGGGAAGATTAGGAGTCACCTGCCACCGGCTGGCTGGGAAGCTCAAGAGGCAGACACCACTGGGGGTGAGCAAACACACCTCATAGGGCATCTCCGGAACCACGCCCTCACAGGGGCCCCGTGGGCCAGTGCGCCGGGTGACCTGGGCATGACCACACTTTGCCACCGTGCTGGCATTACCCCACTAACACCCCATCCCCGGGCCCTCGGTTTGTTCTCTGAAGGTGTAAGCACCCCACCCTTATGCGTTCTCGGTGAGGAAAGGTAACACCCACCACCGCCGTTGCAAGGCCCTGTGCTGTGGACACTGAGACGGGAAAAGGGGTCCCTCCCTCCGGCGGGACTCTCCGCCCTCGGTGTTGGTGCCGACACCGGTCCATGGACTCACAGGCCAGGGCGGGCACTTCCAAACTATGGCTTTCGCGCAGGGCTGTGAGCACCCAGCTGCTCACACGGGTCCCGCCCCACTGCGGCCCAGCCACGAGGCAGGAAAAGAACAGGAGACCACGCACCACGAGCCCCCCGACTGTCCATTTCAGTGCAAAACAGGAGCTGAGAAGCAGCACCGAGACCGGGCTCCCAAGAGAGTTAAACGGCTTCTCTCCCTCTTTTGTTGAAAGGGCCCCTCACAGCTCTGTGGGCAGAGGAGCCAGGTGTGGGTAAGTCCGTGGCCTCCAGGGACGGGCACACCGCCACAGCCTGTCCCAAGACGCCAGCGTGGCCTGGGGTCCCTCACATCCTTCCCTACTGCCCTCGGCACCATCACTCGGCATCCGAGGGCTTTTACAGCTGTTTCCTCAGCTTCTTCCTGAACGTCAGTCCTTTACTGACCCATTTCACAGAAGGGGAAATAAAGTCCCCGAGAAGAGAAGTGGCTCACTGGGGCCCAGAAGTAACCCAGGCAGGCCTGGAACCCGAGAACCCCAGCTGTCAGGCCCTGAGTCCTCACAGACTAGGCGCCCTCCTGCGGTCCCTCTCTGACGGCGCAGCCGTGCCCGACTGGGCCCTCGCTCGGCGCCAGGCTCGGTGATGGGCACTTCTTACACCGTGAACGGCCCAGACCGCTGCCGCTCCGCCTGCAGCCCACAGACCAGCCGCGGCAGCATCACCCGACGGCCCATTAGAAATGCAGCCTCAGACCCCACCCCAGACATACCAAAGCAGAATCCCTGTGGGTGGGCCCAGCGATCCGGATTTTCACAAGCCTCCCAGATGACTGTGCGGCGTCCTAGAGGTTGAGAACGCGGGCCCACCCAGCCCTCTGAGATCAGTACATGTATTAACCCCATTTTACAGATGAGCAAACTAAGACCAAGCAACCATCCAAGAGTCGTGGAGCTCGGAGGGGGTGGAGCCAGGACGGGGACACCTAACCCTCGTTTTACTTCTGCTTCCCAATGCAGTGGGGTCACCCCACGCCCCCGTGACTTATATGCATGAACGTTTCCTTCAGTCTCTGCCTGTGCCAGCTCGGGGGAAGCTAAGGAGAGAATTCATCCTCTGGAGGCTCCCTGGGGCGACCGGGGCGCCCACGCGAGACGGCGGTGGGCTGGTCAGTGCTTCACAGACGGCTCTCGGGGAGAAAAGGGCTCTGGTTTGCAGCGTTCGCTGCTTTCTGTGGTGTAAATACTCCCCCCGCGGCCCCTCTCAAGCTGCTAAACAGGACATGCCGCTCCTGGAGCTGGGGAGCTGGGCTGTGGTGGGGTCTGCGTGGAGCTCCGAGTTGGCTGCAGGAGCCTCGGCCATCCAAACTCTCCCTCCCACCTGCTGAGCGACCCAGGGCAAGGTGTTCACCTCTCCGAGTCCTGGTCCCACATCTGCAAAGTGGGGATGGTTAGATTCCCATTCGTTCCGAAGACAAAGTGGAACTCCAGTGCCAAGAGCCGAGCCGGAGCCTGGCACACCCCGGGCAGCGCGGAGTCAGGGCCGCTGTCCCCACCCCCACGGATCCGTTCGGGTTGGGCTGTTTCCTGAAAATGCCCTTTTTGGGGACCCGCCTGCGGGGGCCTTCACACTGGAGGGCCCCAGGCCTCCCAGGCCGCCTCATGTTTAATCCCTTCTCTCCTCGAGGTTAACCTCGAGTTCGTCTATATATTTATTTCGTCCCCCGCAGTCACCCCTGCACGGCCTCGTTAACCAGAGTCGCGCAGCATGTAAACGTGGATTTACGACGGCGTCTGGCTCCCACGTCCGGTTTCGGCGGCAATCCCAGGTTCTCGCCCACCAGCTGTCCCACCCTGACCAAAGGTGACAGAGCCGGGCTCAGCGTGGCCACGGCACTGTCCCACACAAAGCGGGGGACGGAGCGACCTGCTGTGCTCCAGCAACTGAAGGTGGGCGCCGTGGCCACAGGGTCAAGGGCATCCCTCCGCTGAGGTCCCGGAGAGAAGGGGACAGCACCCACCCAGACCCCTCTGCTGTTTGGGGTGAAAAGGAAGGAGAGGGGGAGGCCAGAATCCCACTCTCTTCTTTTTTTTTCCATTTTCATTTGAGGAAAAGCACCATGAAGTAAAGACTAATTATTTTATACGACTCCTTACAACCCATCCTCTGTGCTGACGCACTGTCGGCAAAAGCCAGCACTCGCAATACGTGTGCGTCCCCTTGAGCACGAGCAACGAGGAGACTGTCTCTTATTGAAAACCGATGTTGTGTGCGCGTGCGAGTGTGTGCGTGTGCATAAGTGTTTGCATCTGGTGT